TTTTGACGAGGGTCTATCCAGAAAAAGCAAAGCAAGTAAGCAGACTAAAACAATTTATCAAGTGTAAACTGAGAACACACAAAAGTCATGCCCAAGAGATACCGTGCAAATGGTCCTCCAATTAACCTAGCGGCATGTCATAGACCAACAGCCTTTGATCTCCTTCAGCACAATAACCAATCAATTTAATGAGATTAGGATGGTCGGCCATATTCAATGTCAATACCTCTACAACAAATTCTCGAACCCCCTGGCATCCATTGTATCAAGTTGCTTTATAGCTACAATCTGCATGAAAGCAACAAATAAAGTTCAAGTCCTCAGCCACAAAATTATAAATTGAACATCTCATTAGGATCAGTAAACGATATTCAGATTCATTGCTGAAATTAAAAAATAAAATGAATCTAACAGACCTCATTTGTGTCCTGCAAATGACCTTATTAAACTTTTCCAAAACCACCCTCACCCAAAAAAATTTCTGCCTTGAAATTCTGCATTGCAGACAGCAATTCAGCATATGTAAAGGTTCGTGCTTTAACACTATTGGCCTCTCCATCACTAGAAGGGTTCTTACTAGCATCGACCTCCTCTTCCACGGCACGTTTGTTTAAGACCTTGGACTCTTCCTTTGCATCTTTACACGGACTCACTTGTAATGCATCTAATCAAAATATACATAAAGAGATAACGCTTTTCTATAAAGAGATAAATACATAAAGAGCACTTTTCTATTCACTCTTGATGGTACAATAAACAAGATCTTAAATTTTTCTTCCTTAGTATTGTCGTCCCGCCCCCTCACCAAAACAAACTAAAAATTCATTCATATATGAATCTCATCAAAAGAACACAAGAGGATAACGCTCACTAAAATTCTTACAGTTAAATAAATAAAAAGATTGTGTCTAACCTGTAACAAAATTCAATAAAGACCCAAAATAAAACATCTTAGGCTTCAGCATTCTGATAAGATCAAATCAAAAACGATAACAGAAACAGGAAAATGATACATGCATGAAATAATTAAATCTCTCACACCATTGGTACAGCTGCACGTGTATATCAACAAAATCTATGCAATCGTGAAAATTAATTTCTTTTTTAAAAAATAGAAGACCTTTAAATGATTTTATTATTAAAATTCCAGAAAATCAATAAAATTTTCTACCTCTATTTGGCGATGCATGATCAGCTCTTCTGTATTGATTATCATCGTTGTTGTTTTTCCTCAATTTCTCTGGTTTCTTAATTGATGATTCTCCAGAACAACGAAAACATCCCATCCCTTTTCCCTCTATATAGAAAAATATTTATATAATTTATACATATGACTGTATGTGTGAATATATAAAGCTCTCTCTCTCTCTCTCTCTCTCTCTCTCTCCTCTCCTCTCCTCTCCTCTCCTCACATAGGAAGAGAAACAGAGCCCGTGACAAAGAATGGGGAGAAAGAGTTACAATTTATGTATCTATACATTTTTATTTCTACTGGATAATTTGTCCTTCTTCCTCACGAATTTCTTCTATTCTAACCTGCCTTTTAGAATTACTAGTTTGAGTAATGCTATTCATCCACATTGGGATGAAAACACAATCTAGGTGGAGCTAATATGACATTAAATGATAGGTGAAAATAAATTAAAGCCGTGCGATTTCTTGATACCTCAATTGGGGCCCACTAACTAGTTGATCTACAGCTGAAGTCCAGGGAATTGGTGACCAACACATCTTCTGGTTAGGGGTGGACATGGGTTGGGTTGGGTCGGTTTTTGCCCCAACCCAACATTGTCGATTTGTTCGAAATCCAATCCAATCCAACTCATGTAAATGTTGAAACTCAACCCAATTATGTGTCGATCGGGTTGAGTTGGGTTGGGTTGGTCGGTTTGAATCATAAATTCCAATTTTTTTGACACATGTTGGAATTAGAAAGACTAAATATGAGTGCTTAGTTTGATTAGTTTTTTTTTTTTCCCCCAATTTCACTCACACAACTGTTTCAGTTTTTACTCAATTCAAAACCGACATAACAGTGGATGAGTGCCCCTTAAAATCTAATCTTAAGTCCTAACATTAATTAAAATTGCAAAATTGGTCCCTAAACGGCTAACAAATGATAAAAAGTTTCTAAAATATAACAACGAATGATAAGATGGACACGAAGATAATAGAAAATGACATAATGTTAAGAAAAAATCATGCTCATGAACTTGGAGGATTTTCAAGAGGAAAAAATATCTTAAACGTGTAGCATTTGAAATGTCTAGTAAATGACAAAAGATGGAACTCTATGCAAAACCAGTAAAATTAGATAATGATTTTTATTTTT